TAAATTATAAAAATCTAGTAAATATATGCGTGGGCTGGGCTTGCACGCATAGAACAGGCCGATAGGGATATTCATAGATAGCCTAGGGCTGTCGCTACTCTTAATCAGGCTCTGGCTATCGTGCATCCTTCCCTAACACACATAATAATATATATAGTGTTCTCTGTTACGCTCTATTTTAATATAAAATTATTGAAAAGTTAAATCGTGTCAATCACTAGTCTTGCCACGAATTGAAAAGTCAACCATATACCATTGGATTCGCAATAAAAATATGTATATATATACACATTAATTTTTTTTAAAGAATGAGGGTAAATTACTATATCAGTTTACCTGTTTACTCTTGGTTGACAGGTATTGTTGCATGGAAAAAGGTAGTCAACCATGGTGTGGCATTTTCCATAGACTTAGAATTTACTGGCGTATAGACGACCTGACAGCCTTTAAATGTGTAACCAATTTTGATTTGTCATTGTGTGCGTTAGCTAGTGATGTGCATTTTACTTACAAGGAATATCGATAAATGATTGCTAAGGAAGCGGTAAAGAATGAAAAAAATGGTTTAGTGTACGAAACTGAAAAACCTCAAAAATTAACAGAATTTTTACCTTGACAGTTCTAAAATAATAAAAAATATTCAAATAACATGTTACCGAAAATAGGCTGCACCTACCTGCCTTTTGTTGTATTTTAATTCAAAATCTACAAATTCCCAATAATCTTTGAAAAGGTGAGTCTACCGATAAACTTAAACAATTTCCACCAAGAAACGGATCGGAAAGTTGTATTTCCAAATTATGTATGACCTTTAGGGAAAACTTTACTACTATGGACAGCTACACCGGAATTTTTTTAACATAACGTTTGATCAAATATGAATAGGTAGATACTTAATTAAGTAAAAATTTATTTATACTTTATAAAATGTTTTGCTGTTGTAATACAAAACGGCGACAAGAAGTACATAATGGCTGCTTTATTTTCGTATCATAATTACAAAAATTTAATAATTAATAATTTTACATTATAAAAATTAATTTTAACATTCGACTTAAATATGCATTTAAACTTAATAATTTAAGTAAGGAAATTTGTAGGAATCATTTAAACTTATTTAGCTCAGTATAAAGGCCAATATGTTTATGAGGCTACTCTCTCTTTATTTTTCATCTGTCCCTGAAAAATAACAAACTTATTATCATTTTAGCTGCATGAGTTTAAAAACATAATGATCTTACACAGACTAGCCAAATACGCAGGAGATATGAAAGTGTACCAGGTATCTGAGGATACAGATGCACTGTCTATTCTCTCAATCTCGTTATGTTAAGAAAACGGTGACCCATCCATGTACTGAATGTGGCAAACCCAACTTAATCTGGCAGAACTATTGATCCGCGCAGCTGTTAATAAACCATAAGTTCCTCTCCTCTACGCATAACGCCGTAGGCAATGAACCACGCTATTTAGTCCTCGACACACTGTCGTCGGTCACCAAGCATAAATCGGGCATCGGGCGTTGTGAGTATCAAATACTATGGAATTTATACTATCCTGGCAAACTGAACTACGCGTTACATGCGCGGGCATCTTAGCGGCGCTTCAGGAGCATTACTAAACATCTATATCTAACTACATTAAAATTTTATCATTGTGACTTGGGTATATAATACGAAGCTCCGCTCAACCCCTTAGGGAAAATAACGTGATGCTATAAATATTGTACTAACGAGACCGTGAGTTAAGTGAGGTTATGCATTTTTTTGGTTGATGAATAAATACTCAGTTGGGTTCATAATTACTTTAATAGGATAATCTGAAGATTTTTTATTTTTAATATACTGTAGTTTTATAATGTATAAAAATCTATCTCTATTTTTACTTAAAATTTTTGTAAGTTAAATTTTTGAAGTCTAAGAAGAATATTATACTTACTGGTACAAATAATGTACTATATGTAATAAAATTGTTTTTATTCTAGTTTTTCTTTTATACTTCTCAAGAAAATGTTTGCTGCATATTGTTGAGTTCTTCTTCGGATATCAACCAACCCGTCCAATTAACGTTAACCATATTTGCTAATTATTGAATCCGGAGGGAATCTCTTTGACAAAAGGCAAAATAAAATACATTTTAGAACGAAATCTGAGGATTTATTTTCTTGATGTGTGCGCAATTCTATCGATTTATTATAAACATTTAAGATAAATATCGACATTAATTTATAATTTCAACTATATCAGTTGAGTCAATCCCTAGTGTACATGTAAAATATTATGTATTAAAATGTATTTACCAAATTCATGCTAATTATCAATAACGTGACTTTTTTCTTTGCAAAATATCAAAATTAACAAAATAATTGAAAACATTCTACATATATATTTTATACAGTATATAACATAAATTCTAACCAAAAATAAACGAGTCATAACATTGACAATGTCTTGAGAATTTACCTGTGAAAGGTGCAATTATCAGCATTATTTCTATTATTAACACCACAGTCACTCGCAGATTAAGTAACTATTTTGCAAAAAAGTTACTTATTAGAAATAACCACTATTACACTCTAAAAAATTACAAAATATCTAATAGCTATTTCTTGCGTGCCAAATTGTGCCGATCTGTCATTCAAAATCGGTTACAGAGTCATGAAATATGGTATCTTTTTCTATCTTGCATTTTTGCCGTAAGGAATTTTCTTCTCCCTTGCACACTACGTAGTCGTACGTCTATACGTCAGTATATCCTAGGTCTATGGGCATTTTCTATATATTTTTTTCGATTGTTGATATTCTTAAAAGGAATATTCATAAACACAAGCTTATGGCTAATATTTCAATCGGTTACAGTCATAGAGGAGACGTACTTTAGTTGGGTATCGCATTAGATTTCATTTCCTATATATAAAAAAGTACTCTGTGGATTTCATGGTGATAATATATTGTTAATAATATTTCGTCGACTCGTTCGTTAGAGTTTTCCTGGCAATATACCTGACTTTTCAATAAATTTCCTGACATTGACGCAGAGGCAGCAAATAGTACGAGAGCTGGTAGACAAGTTATCAGCGCCTCAAATACCTACCCAAAAATGTCTTTTTTTATAGGATAGGCGGATAAACTGTTTATAGAATAAGGGTGACAAACGAGCACACAGTCCACCGGATGGTAAGTGGTTTCTGTGACCCATAGACATCTACAACTATCCTCAATAAAAAATCAAAATGCAGATGTGTTGTCACCCTTGAGGACTAAGATGGAATACCTCTTTTCCAGTAAAAGGGTCTCTGGCTCTCTACACTCACCATACGAAACACAGCAGTGTTAAGGTGCTATTTTACGCTAGTATTTTGTAAAAGTGTGGTACTTCCCCGGTCGAGCCAACCCATTCGTGGTACAACTATACTCCTTATATAGCTGCAGCAAGGCCCTACCACGCAAAGAAACCAGCTCTCCTAATAATATATATATCTCAGTGTAAAAACTCGCGCATGTGCTTGACATATGCGCAATAAAAAGTACGAGCTAGATCAGATGAATGAAATAGTTTAACTTCGGGATTGATTCATATATAATTATTTTTGTATATAAACTGTTTAATAAATATATTTATTGGTACTTCTAATATTTTTCTCTTTCTATTTAATAATTCCTGACAATTTCAAATTTTTCCTGTTTCCATGACAGAGAGCTAAAATTCCGGACATTCCAGCAAAATTCCTGTCATCTGGTAACCCTATCGACGATAGTAATTACAGATGGGGAGTTTTGGCGGGAAATTGACCGGCGGCGGTTTGCTGCTCCTGTATTATTGTTTAAATAATGGTTTGAAGTGGACTTTGATATGTAAAAGTGTTGCGATTTTGTGTATTAAGTGTCTACGCATGTGAACTATTAGTGGAAACAGTGAAACAAGTGCTCTGATGGTGATGGATTCTCAAGATAAGCTGTTTGTTTGCATAGGCACCTTTAGATACCATCGCCAACTATCAGCTGTCTGCTGGATCAAGTTGCCGCCAAAATCTCCCAAGAACTGCACAATGTGACGCATCAACATATTGTGAAGCAGTATACTATGAAGGAGTGGGGAAATTACAATAAACCGAATAAAAATACTTAAGACTTGGCCTAAAGGTCTAGATACCAGGCCAAAAACTCCCAAAAAAAAATAATTACAGATGGTGGTGAAACAAACGAACGCGTAGTGTTTCTATATAGTTTGTGTGGTGAAATATGAAAGGGCGTATAGTACATAGAGCGGAGTGGGAGCAAGATCCTTTACTTTCATCGTGGATCTCCAAAACTAAAGATGATCCAGACTGTGTAACTACAAATTTTCACCCCGGCTGTCCGATTTAAAGGTGCATGCCGCTACTAGTAAACATCAAAAAATATGAGTGGATTCAGCATGCGATAGAATGTTCTCACAAATAAATTTAATTAAGATAAAAACACTAAACAGATTTATAAACAAAGACGTAGCGTCTATCTTGCACGTTAAACATGGCATTGGTGAGCATGGCGATTGCTTTACATTCAAACCAACGAAAGAAATGTTTAATTTAATTTAATAAAAATATAGCATTTAATGTGTATTTTTACTTTTCATTTAATACAATGGTAAATAAAGTTGGCAGTATTTAGGCATTTTTCATTACAGACTTTGGCAGGTTTTTAACCCAAAGATTGGCAGGATCTGTATTTTAAAGATGGTCACACTGATTGTTTACAAGATTATAAATATAAAGTAGGTACAGAAATAAATTAGTATTTTTTTCCTGTATAGGACAGTTACTATACTCTTTGGTATTTTTATACCCCTAGATAAAAGGTTTGTACCTATAATCACAGATAAGAGTGTATATACGGAAACCTATAATATCTAGGTATCCAAGCATATATATTTATATTTATAATATAATATATCCTTGGATACCTAGTACCATAGACTAATATATAATACTGGAGACCTAGTACTATTCTTTGTTTTGTGCCTTGTACATAGATAAATATATATGTAGCAAGGCCTTGTATAGAAAGTTTTACAAAGGTACCAAATACATTGATAAAATTATTGATATCTACTGCTAGGAAACCAAACAAAATGACAAAAAAATCAATAAATTTAGAAGTCGATCCTTCTATAATGGAAAAAAATATGAGAATTATAAAAGTAAGTACTTCAATATAATTGGACGCATTTTGTTGTAAATCCATAATACAAAATCGACAATATTTCTTTTTCAGGATAATCCAGTTGAAGAGGAATTAAATAAATTACTTTCTTCAGTTGATTCAGTCCCATCTAAGCTCGTTAAACCTAGACCAGGTAAAACCAAAAATTACCAATTAGAATTAGGTATATTTCGATTTTTAATTCTTTCATTGCATTTGGTATTTGTGACTTGACTGCAACTTTATAATTTAAGGTTTTTGTGTTAAAACATTTACAAAGCCTGATAACAAGAAGGTTTTTGTGAACATTTGTTTAACGGAAGCCATACCATGTCCGAGAGATATTACCAATGATGAGTTGATGCAAATATTGAGTTCTGATGATCCCTCCAGTTACAGAGTACCTATGAGCATAGGGGAAGGTCGAACAGAATTAGATAAGTCTGGAGCACCTGCAACAGTGTATGATGTGGCGATCAATCCAAATTTCTTCAGTAAAATTGAGAAAGATGATTTGTTTCAAACATTTTTTCTCACAGTTGTCTTTGAAGGATTACAAGACAAATATCAGTTTGAAATTGACTCACAAAAGTATTCAGTTTTGAAGAATAGGAAATCTATTGGTACACTTCAATCTCATAGAATTCAAATTCGAGATATTAAAACATGTAATGCAGAAACTAAGCCACTGATAGAAGAAATTCTTACTGAATCTGGCCCAAAAATGAATGAAATGCCTACACAAATAAAGAAAGCAATAGTGTATAGACTAAGAAGAGAGCCTCCGACTGGTGAAATACAATATTTATTGGCTGAATTTAGAATTCCAGCATCAGTAAGTATATTACAAGTTTTGTCTTGCAGTCTAAGATAAAATCAAAAGGTAGAGGGTCTGAAACTTGCATTGACTAAAGGCATAATCTGCCTTGTCAATCGGTCAGTCCACTGATCAGATAAATGGGAAATTTGAAACAATGAAAAACTATTATATTAATATATAATAAATATATATTATACACACTTTGGATTGACTAACTTATAATTCTTCAACATATCTATAAAAAAATAACTAATTGCACAACAAGAAAAATCCCTATTGACAGGGCCAGATTAAGCCACGCAAAGAGCCATATGTAGTGTAAGTTGACCCCCTCTTTCTTTTCCTAATCTCCTACATCACTCGTCTCGCGCGCAGACTTGACGACTTCCAGCCTCCCGAACAAGCCGGTTTCCGAAAGGGCTTTAGCACCATAGACCACATACATACCCTTCGGCAAGTTGTACAGAAGTCCGAAGAGTACAATTTGCCACTATGTCTGGCGTATGTGGACTATGAGAAAGCCTTTGATTCCGTCGAAATTTGGGCGGTGCTGCAGTCCCTTCAGCGGTGCCAAGTTGACTGTCGGTATATCGAAGTGTTGAAGTGCTTGTACAGTAGGGCTACGATGGCTATCCGAGTACAGAACCAGAGTACGAAACCTATCCAATTGCAGAGAGGTGTAAGACAGGGTGACGTCATATCCCCGAAACTCTTCACCGCTGCATTGGAAGACGTTTTCAAGCTTCTGGACTGGAAAGGATACGGTATCAACATCAATGGCGAGTACATCACTCACCTTCGATTTGCCGACGATATAGTCCTTATGGCAGAATCGCTGGAGGACCTAAGCACTATGCTCAATGACCTCAATAGTGTTTCCCAACGGATAGGTCTTAAGATGAACATGGACAAAACTAAGATCATGTTTAATGTCCATGTCACACCTATGCCGATAGTTGTTGGGAACACTAAGCTCGAAGTTGTTGACGAGTATGTTTACCTGGGACAAATAGTCCGACTGGGTAAGTCCAACTTCGACCGAGAGGTCAATCGACGGATTCAACTCGGCTGAGCAGCGTTCGGGAAGCTACGACACATCTTCTCGTCAGACATACCTCAAAACCTTAAAACGAAATTGTACAACCAGTGCGTGTTGCCAGTGATGACTTACGGAACTGAGACGTGGTCCTTCACTGCTGGCCGTATGAGGAAGCTCAAGGTCGCTCAGCGAGCTATGGAGAGGGCTATGCTCGGAGTTTCTCTGCGTGATAAACTTAGGAATGAGGATATCCGCAGTAGAACCAGAGTGACCGACATAGCCCAACGGATTAGTAAGCTGAAGTGGCAGTGGGCCGGCCATATAGCTCGAAGAACCGACAACCGATGGGGAAGAAAGGTTCTTGAGTGGCAGCCTCGTACCGGTAGGCGAAGTGTAGGGCGTCCCCCCACGAGATGGAGTGACGACCTGGTAAGACATGCAGGAAGTCGATAGATGCAGGTGGCTCAGGACCGTGTTTTGTGGCATTCTTTGGGGGAGGCCTATGTTCAGCAGTGGACTTGTGAAGGGCTGTAATGATGATGATGATGATACATCACATAAAAATGCTTTCTACGAAATTTTTTTTTTAGTATAATATAAACATTGTAATATTTGACAGGTAGATATAAAAGACTTACATTTAGAGGTTGGGGAAGACAGGCTAGTTTTGGATTCTAAAGGTCAATTTGATTCGGTGGATTTCTTTCTACCGTGCAGTGTTGATCAAGAGATTATAGAAGCTCAATTGAATAGAAATAATGATGTAAGTATGTTTTCTAATGTTAAGTTACAGTAGGGCCTTGATAAACCAAATATACGAAATTTACACTCTGTACGGATGAATGAGGTGTTCAGGTTAGTTTTTTTTTTATATAGGATAGGGTGACAAACGCAGAGCACACAGTCCACCTGATAGTGGTTTCTGTGACAGATAGACAACTACATCTATCCTCAATAAAGAATCAAAAGCAGATGTGTATCACCCGTGAGGACTAAGATGGAATGCCTCATTTTCAGAAAAATGGTCACCAGTTCTCTACACTCACCATATGAAACAGCAGTGTTAAGCTGTTAATTTGCACTGGTGTTCTGTGAGAGCGTGGTCCTTCCCCGGTCGAGCCGATCCATTTGTTCTACGACTACACTACTAATATAGCTGCAGCATGGCTCTACCTATATATATGTATATATGTATGTAGATATTATATCATATTCAGAGTCAGTGGCCAAGTTTCCTCTGGTTTGAATAATGAGAGCCACAAAGGCTTTCAAGATTTTTTGATCAGCTTTAAGAGCACTTGTTGCAACAGTTTGAGCCACTATCTATAACCAGTTCCTTAATGTCCGCTTCTGTGTAAGCAATGTACCCATAACTGCTAATATTGTATTTTTGATGTTCTTATAAAGTTCTGTAAGGGTTTTTGTGATGTTTATATTGTTTTATTTTTCATTAAATAAATTTAAAAAATATTGCCACTAGCTTAAAATGATATTTAAAACTCTGTGTGGCCTTAGAAGAGAAATTTAAAAAAAAGAACAGTTTACTACTTATTACAACCTTTTTTCAAGAAAGTGGTACATACTCCTCATTATAATTGATTTTATTTTTATTATGGAACTTCCAATATTTAGTATACTTAAAAAGTGATAGCATCAAAGGAAATAATATGAAAGTCCATTTAAGGACATTTATAAGGAATTTTCTTTATATTATAATTTTTTTCAGATACTGTCAGTGAAAATGCCTGCAATACATTAAAATGAATATTAATTTGAATATAATACACAAAAGAAAGCAGTAACATCATGACTATGAATTTTAATGCTTGTTTTGAACACACAAATTAATGTTTGCATGATGTAAAGGATTTCTAGAAGGAATTTTATATTCATTGTTTTCATTGTTATAAAATAAAACACAAGAGTAAAGATTATTTATCATTTTATTTGTCTATTATTGTTTTAAATTTTATTATGGCGTCTTATTTGTGATTTTAATTATATTAACAAGCTAAGAATTTCTTACTACCTACCTAAAATTTGAGAGAATTATGTATTTGAGAAATACATTTACAGTAATTACATTAGTATTGGCAGTTGTTACATTCGATTATATAATAGAGAATGTGGAAATGTTCAAAATACTCTTTAAAAAACTAATCTAGAATAGCAGTTGAAACAGTAATGTTACAATCAAAACCGAAATTTTAAACATAATCTGTAATAGTGAGAAATAGGTATTTTGGTATAGAAACTACCAAATAATTATGTTAAATGAAGTAAGTCAAAAAAATAAAGATCATTATAATGTTGAAACCACTTTTTAAACTCTGATGTGTTCATGAAGATTCAATAAAATATACAAAATATTAGGAAATACTTATCGGCCGGATAGAGCAATATATAAAATAATATGGGGTTGAATGTGGTCAATGATTTCTAAGATATATTAATCCTGCAAAAACTACTTTTTAAAATCAATAGACAAAATATATCATAAATAGTCAACTGATAATGTAGGAGCATTCAAGATGCTAGGCTTTGCACCTTTGTAACGTTAACACTTCATTTTTGGAAACCTTTTCAATAGGTAAAGGCTTGTGTCCACAAAACGTGCACAATAATATTTGTATTCACAAACATTCTTAAGTATAGGAGCAATGCTATGATAAAGTGTTTCTCAGTGTGTTCGATATGGTAAACCATTCATTTCATGAAAAATCCCCAAAGGACTCTGTTGTGCGCACTTGAGTTAGGAATAAATGTCAAATGGTGAAGACCTATATTGTGGAATTAAATAATCTGCTCATTTTCATATATGTATAATAATCTAATACATTCATATAATTTCTACCCAAGTTCGTAACAATATCACATTTGAAAGTCTATAGCGACATTCATAATCGTCCACACCGTGATCATCAAAAATACTAGGACAGTCATGTCTCACTATAATGGTGACTGCGAACCTACAAAGGTTTACTATCTCAAGGATTTAATTATCATATTATTCTTCGCTACTATAATACATAACAATTTTTCATACAAAACAAATTAGAATAAAATATAACAAGGACTCAATTCTCACAACTGAGGCAACCAAAAAATAAACTACTTCACCTTTAATACGTATGTACATAGCGTAAAGTATCCAGCGAGCTATTATAGCACGCATACCGCATAGTGTCTTTCGTCCCTCAAGTATTGTTTATCATAAAGTTTTCTGTACTCAGTGGATTCGAGCTCATTGTGAGACTAGTCATGTTTGTCAATATGGGTGTAAATAGATTACTATAAAGTATAATTAAACTATAATTTATATACTAAATTATAATTTTGGTTTGATCAGCTTAATAATTGTAAGTACGTTCATCACTACTAACAGGATAAGTTATATAAAATTATTTAAAGTTTAATTTATTTATTGAATACCTACGGAGATAGAAATGAATTAAGAATAATTCATGACCAGCACTTCAATAACAGCTGATTTAAAGTTTTAAAGCACCTGTTAATCTTAAATATCACATTAATAAATGCATTTTTTATATAGATACGTAGTAGGAGATTATAGAAGGTAAGAAATATACTGTTTTAATTCGTAAATTATTAACCAATAGCCAGTAACCGATTGTCTTTTAACACTTAACTTACATTAAAACTAAATGCACAGTAATGAAAATAAATAGGAACGTTTAGTGAAATAATATAATTATATACATAATATATTAAAATTGGAAATAAATTGGTATAAATAGTATATATATATATATATATTATATATATATATATATATATATATATATATATATATATATATATATATTTACATATCCATTGATACCAATAAATGATTAGTTGGTGTTATAGTTATCACATTGTTATACTTAAAAATAATGTAAAAATTGTTGGCTAATTAAAAAAATATATATACCCATAGCAGAATAAGTAGTATAAAAATAAGAAAACTTATCGTAAGTAATATTCGATTAACATACAGAAAAGCAAGAAAATACTTAAATAAATGAGTTTAAAAATTACTAGAAAATAATCTATGAGATTTGAAACAAGACTAATAAACAAAATGGAATTTAGTTTTAACATTATAATTGTAACTAAAGATGCGAAAAGTACTTGTTTCCTTAAAATATAATTATGCTTCTACATCAGCCTGTAAACAGATCAGTGCTGGCGATCGCATAGTGTCACGAGTCTCGCAACATTAACGCTACTACCAGTCGCGAGACGGGATTTTACATCTGGTATTTAATATTTATACAAGGTTACTTCATTTGTCTGTACTTTTTCTTTATACAGGATTGTTTCTCAATATACGGCCAGATTTGCAGAGAAGGTTTAGTAAACACAGAATAAAAGTACAAGAACAGAAAGATCACTCTCTGATAGCAAACTTGCGAGTTTAAACTTAGTTACAACGTCGCTAATGTTCATAATACTTGCACGCCTTGGAAGTGACCTTCGTGAAATTAGCCTACCGTTAATATCATCGAAAAAAAATTTTATGCGGCGCGCGTATTAAATCAAAATGCACCTTACGTCCGCATGCGAGTGCCTTTGTTAAGACCGCTTCTACTGCAGGGTTAGTTGTGAGAAAACAAATTGAATCCTTTGATATTAGTTGGTATATAGCAGAATACACTGAGGTGTTATGCAATGTATTAGTATTTCTTTTAATTTGTTAAAAAAAAAAGTTACCCTCACACTAGGATTTTCTCCTGTATCGTGGAGGCAAGTTAACAAACATAAATTACACAAGCACAAACATCTAGACCCGGAACAATTATTTGTAGGCCAAATTAAGATTATTACGTTTTACCTACTTACCATTTTAACAGACTTCAAAACTAAATTAAAAAGTACTTTAGTAACAATTATGAATTAGATATATAAGGATATTTAGTATTGTACATTTTAGATGATTGTTTTCAGATGGTTGTTTTCTTTTTATTTAAGTACAGACTTGTTACCCTGCTTGTTGTGCAGACGATACCAATTACAACCTGCTTCATAATATAAATATTATGTATGTTCTTAGTGAGACAGTTTGTAGGAAACAATTATTGTAATTACCATTGTCTTATTTTACTTGTACGTTTTTCTTTCGTATCTTTTGTTTCTGTTTTGTCTCCAATAAAGTAAATAATAAAAAAAATAATAGGAGGAGGTACTCAGTTCGACTGTATTTTTTTGTGTGTTACCTCATAACTTTTTGCTAGGTTAATCTATTTTGATGATTCTATTTTTATTTGAAAGCTACACTACACATCCCATATAAATTTGATCAAGATCTGAATCTTTAATAACGTGTATTAATCGGTTGTATAAAATTTTTATTTCATTAGTTGTCTTCTGTATTTATATATTTTAACTTAAGTATAAAATTTGGCTATTCTTTGAAAAATAACCCTGTATAGATAAGGCAATCTTTGCAGGATTTGGCAAATAATATGTAAGTAACCGTGTAGTCCGTGTAGTGGCGGTGTAAGAATATCCACTACCCCATATCGTCCCGTGGGTGTCGTAAGAGACGTCAGAGGGAAACCAGATGGGCGGCAGTGTCTTCCTTATAATAACTAGACAATAAAAAACAGGAGCAGCCATAAGGACTGCCGACAGAAGTGAAAGCCTCAATGATATATGCGTATACATTTACACAGGCCGCTTTTACAGCGACTAGTGTACATGTATACAGGCTGCTATTATTAAGCCTATAAATAAGCGCAAGCCAGATTACGGTGACACGAACTCTTAAGTTTTTCCCCTACCAAACATTTCTCAACTCGGCTAAAGAAGTTGTCACTTCAAAATCTGCAATTGCCAAGCGTGACGAATGGCGAATATCCTCCTTATGAGGCAGTCTATGGGGAGACCTATGTTCAGCAGTGGATTTCGATAGGCTGTAGTAGAGGTGGATGTAAGTATACCCTTATATCCGGTGGATATAAGTTAATGCTTTTTTATATTTACGCGAAGACTACACATTAAATGAAACTTAATTTTTACCGGGTGCTTTACAGCACGCATGGTCACGGACTTCAAGATACTGTAAGCTCATCCTGCGTTGATCGGACCAAAAATTAATATTCAAAAACTGAAGGTAGCCGGGCTATGACATGGGGACGTCAAACACCTCAGTCCCCCCGTGACCATGGGTGCTGTAAAGCACCCGAAACTTCGGGAATTAAAAAAATACATAAATTTAACGCGATAAAATCCTAAAAATTAGTTTCAACTAACAATAAATTGCATACTTTTATCGTAATTATTACGCCCAACTATGCCTTTCAAATTTTAGTAATACTAGAATAACAACTTAACCCACATATTTTAAAATTTGAATTAGTCTGTATATTGTATTGTTCTTGCAAGCGGAAATTCTTATACAAAACGAGTAATTCAGTCGATTATAAAGGTAAAACCGAGTACTCGGAACTCGATAACTCAGTAAAACATGTACTTGGCGCATCTCTAATTAAAAAAAATTATAACTCATCATGTTTAAAATGCATTCCCTCGAGGCCTATTTTGTCTAAACCGGCGAGTAAGTCGGTGTCATAATTGGCTAAATGAGGCCTTATATCATTAATAATAGCTGAATAATCCCTAATTTTTAAAGAAATAACACTGCTGTAGCTTTGGTATAGATTCCTTGTTAAATATAACCTAAGAGATGGGTAACTAGTGATGTGCTCGTGTTGACAGAGATTGCGTTCCGTTATGCAGTTCACTTTGCCGAAATTAACGACGTTGCCGAGAAACTGAAAAAAAAAACACATTATGATTATATTATAATAACACTTTAAACGTGGTACAGCCACGCTACAGTTATATTATGGTTGTAGCACGAATGGGTCGGATCGTCCGGGGTAGGACCACGCTCTCCACAGAATCATCATCATTACAGCCAATCACAAGTCCACTGC